ATTAGAGACATGCATTTTAAAAGATGAAATTATGTAACTGATGTTACATGTTCTGACCTAAAGAGGACAGAGACTGTGGCTTTTATCAATACACATTTGCAGATGCAGTGTCATGATGTTGCAGAGTGCATTAGCACTTGTCAAATGGGTGAGTAGCACTCCAAAGATTCCATTAATTCTGAATAACGTGTTCAAGATTTGGAGCAACAATTGCCTCCATCCATGCTGTCATTTTCAAATCCCATTCTGCACCGCAGCGTGGTTCCAAGGCATTAAATTAGCCTGTCTTCTGCTCTGATTTGTCATTTCTATTAAATGTTGCTGTTAAAGTTTTCTACCTGATATCAGAATATCTTTCTGTTTAATTAACAGAAATCTAAACGCAGCATTGTTTCAGTGTTTAGCAAGAGGAATCATATGTCTGTTGTTTATCCTGCTTTTATTAGAAAAAGGAAAAAAGTGCTTTTTCCAGTTAAATGCTACATAACTGCTGTCATTAATGAATGAAGCTCAAAACTGAAGGTAATTAGTTTGCTCTATGTCTTGAAATAAATTTATCACATCAAATTCACATTATGTGAAACTAATATAATAACATTTACATATTGTTTGTGTAAATTATGAACAGATGGAATAGCCCAGTCTGAAGCATATGGTTTTTAACTTTTGGCTTCTAGAAGAGGCAAAAACACGTGTTTTCATATAAATTAGAGGACTAATCCAATTAGAGGGTAACAACATTAGCAGATTCAATCAGAACCAACAAATCAAACACTGATGATGCCCTCGCTCATTTAACCATGAAATCTTATTGCTTTTTATAGTTTTTTGTTTATCCACCTTCCTCCTGTCAGTTCTGGTTTTACATGCAAAACTAACTAAGTAAAAAACATTTTTAGACATAGCTAATAAATATAACGTTAGATTATTTAGTTAGTTTCAAGAAAACGAGCCCAAAAAATGTATTGCTTACTCCAATGGCAGATTTTATTTATTTATTTTTTTTTACTGAAAATAAGAATTTTTGAATCACCTCATTTAGAGTAGTGTTGTTTTTTTCTAGATGTGAATTTTTTTAAATAACATTAAATGTGTAAAAGTAACATTTTTTTTACTTTCTTACAAATCAGTTTTTGCAGTCTAGCGAGTGTTGCAGCCAGTGAAAACATTACTCATGTGTGCTCTTTGTCATATTGTTTCTTTTGTTCCTCAAGGATTTTTAATTTGTCTCCATCGCTTTGTAAATACAGTCACATAAAGGACAAAACAGATTCCCCAGAGTCCTAACCGCATTCTGTGTTTCTGTTTCATATTGTCTCTCGCTTCAGGGCACTGCTCTTGCTGCTCCATCAGGAGACAACAAGCTGGTTCGAACCAGCAGAGTAAGGAGGCAAACCCCAGGGGGAAATCAGCCTCCCGCTGCATCGTCAGTCAACCAGACCCTGCGGGAACAACCTCTGGTCTTTAACCATGTCTACAACATCAACGTCCCCTTGGAGTCTCTGTGCTCTGTTGACCTGGACACTTCTGCAGCATCAGGATCAGGTGACAGCGAGGACTTATCTTTATTATTTTGCTTATACGGTATAAAATTTTAGCTTTATTAATTTTGAGTTCTTTTTATGTTAAATTTCTTTTTAGATTCTCATGCTGAGCTAGGATCCAGGCCTCCAATGGAGGGTCCGGTTGAGCCAACAGAATACACCGAGCAGACCATGGACGCTGAAAGCCAGGTCCGCTTTTAAACACCATTGTGTGCGTTACAAACCTCAACGTTGCAAAATAAGTGTATGCTTTCATGACTTCTAAATGTAGAATTGCTTATTTATAGAAAAATATATAGAATTGATTAAAGCTGCATTGCCACATTTGGAAAACAATTCATCGTTGAAAGCAACACGTTCTCACACCCGAAGAACAAGTGATTGTTTCCGATGTGCTGTGCCAAAGCATCGGTTTCTGATGCCCGCTTCGCACATTTCACCAACATTTAACCTCTAACCTCTTGCTATTTTACCTTCCCCTCACCCCCATCCTAACCTTTACCCGGCTGCTCATTCTAAACTTCCTGTCCCTAACCCCTAACCCCTAACCCTAACCAGTGCTCCCCCTAGTGTCTCTTAGCCACAAAACACTTTGTAGACACTTTACTATACCATCCATCTTAACTTCTTCACACCTCTCCTACCTACATTCTCCTCTCCTATCCTATACTGCCCCCTAGTCATAGACACAACAAATAATTCCTTTGTACTTGTCTAAGTACCTCCACCAATGACAACACAACTCTGCCCAAAAGCAACTAGTGGACCATCCGGTTGTTGGTCTCATTGAAACACCGCACTGCCCTGGGTCCTCCACTTATTACATACTTGCGTATTTAGCAGCAGAACACCACAGGTGTGAGAGGTTCTCCGCTCAATAATATATGGTACCACTTCAATTTTGGGACAAAACACCAGAGTCCCAAAAAGAAAAGCACCATCTGCAGTCATGAACAACAAAAGATGTTTGAACTTAGAAAATGGAGACGGGTGTTTGACGCTCTCTCCTTTACTGTGACATCGCGGGTTTAAGTTTCCGGCTGAGGCGTCTCAGGTAAGATACCCGAGGAGAGGGGTGAGTTTTCCACGACAATGTTTGGGTTCAAAACCTAGCTTGTTTGCAGCTATAAATGTGTTGAAGTGAAAGAAGCTTTTTCTCTTAGTGCCCAAAGTAACAGAATGTAACCAGTTCACAACACATGGATGAATCACTTTAAACAACTTTTCAGCTGTTAATTTGTCCCAGCTACAACAATGACTTAGCTGCAACAGGTACAAGTTGACATATTAAGAGCTCTATGAAACTGCTCATCATCAAACAGCTAACTTGAGACAAGCCAGTAGCTGGGGAACAGCGTGTGTCACTCATTGGATAAAGCAGCTCATTTTTTCTTCAGATGTTTGAGACTAAAACAAAGTCTGGTGTCTCTATGGCCTGGGTGGCCTTTTGGCAATGGAGGTGCCTATTGGGGCCAGTGGGGGAGCTGGCTCACCGGAGGGCCTAGGCCAACCAGCCATTCCTCCCTATCCCCACACATTTTTCTCCTCCTGCTCCCTCACATCATCACACAAACATGCACATAGAACCTTGGGGGTTGGACAAGTCAGGGGGTGCGGATATGGACCCCATTTTTGCATTCCTGTGGCAGCCTGCCCCCCAATTTTATTTGCACATTAAACACTCCCACCAGCGACATTCCACGCAAATACACACTTAGGGCCTTGTGAATGAGCACATTCAATGGCATTTGGCAAGGGGATTTTTCAGCCTCATCCCAAGTGCCAGTGTCCACTTCCAATTTTAAACTGCACTTAGACACAGCAGGCTGTGGGGGGAAGAGGGGTGGTGTGGTGGCATCATCTGGCGAAGGCCAGACGATGCCTGCACTGCCCGCCCACCACAGCCATAAATACACCTCATCAACACGTACCAACACTATATTTGAGCAGGCGGAGGGAGACTAGGGGTCTTGGCACACCTCTGTTGTCACTTGGCTTCCCAGGGCTGGAGGCTAGGAGGGGGATCTGGCCACATGGTTGATGTCTGGGGTGGTGGGTTGCTTTGCTCAGCATTGGGCGGGGGAGCCTGCTCATCAGCACCCCAGGAGAAAAGGTCGAACTCTGGGAACCGGTGATGATTGTACCCTTTGTGCAGCAGTACCGGGACCAGAGTGAATAGGATGTGAATGGGGAGCATGAGTAGGTGTCTGGCATGCAGTTTTGTAAGTCTTAGGTTGTATGTGTATGTGAGAGCATGAGGGAGGGACTGTGTGATTTTGTCTGTGTATGACTGTATATGTCAGGTGGGGCCTTTGACTCCTCCCCTCTCCTTGGACTTCTTTTGCTGCTATACATCTTCGCCTCCCCTCCCCCTGCCACACCTGGTGTGGAGTGTGGTGCCTTGGTCTGTCTGAGCGTTCGCGGCTCCCGGGTCAGGGGGTTTAAGATTTTTGGCGTCTGCCTGACCAATCCCGGTGACTGCCTGATGGGATCTGAGTCCCTGGGCTCTGCCGGGTCCCGGCGGGGGTGGTGGCTGGGTTCCGGGCTCGGCCGGCTAGGGGGTGGGAGGCTGCGGACGAGTCTGTGGGCTTGCCGCTGATATCTCCCAGGACTCTGCCGGCTGGTGGTTGCCCCCCCCCCCCCCCCCCCCCCCCGGGCAATCCTCTGCGCCTCTTGAGGGGGCAGGGGCTTTTCTGGTTGCAGTCTCCATGGGGTTCCTGTGCTCTGGTGCAGCTCCAGAATATCTGAGACTTGGAGCTCCTTCCATCTGCTACACATCTTTGGGGGGCAGATCTGTGGCCCCTCACACTCTCTATTGGACGGTCTTGTAGAGAATCCTTACATATACAAGCATGTGTACGCACACAGGTGCTCACATGGTGCTCTCATAGGTATGGACTTGGGCATATTCAACACATGTCTTAAGGTTGTGGTTGGCACTTAATGCACTGTGATTTACTATTGTGTGATTGTTCAGTTAAACAATGTTGATTTTATATTTCCTCATCAAGTTGACACATTGATAGCTTGCTCCAGTTGTATTGCCGTGTGTCTCTTTTTTTCTCCTTCTGCAGGTCTAGAAGCAGACCCCTGTTCATCATTGATTGTTTATTTTCGTGGACCCCCCCCCCCCCTTTTGTTTCTTCCCTTCTCTTTCACCTCTGTCTCCGTGTCTGGTCGGAATTACAAGCACTCAAAAAACAATAGCAATAAAGTTTTAAGTATCAGGCGTAACATTAAAAGCAGAAGCTTTGATACCTCAGAGTAAATCTGTAAGGCTTGCCACCAGCATAAATAAACAAAAAATAAAATTAAACAAAGTGAAGACAGATAAATCATGAATGTATGATCAAAAATGTTTTGTCATTTTGCACCAAACTCACTCTTTTCAACTCCTTCTCAGGTGACATTCACACACCGCATCAACATACCAAAAGCAGCTTGTGGTGGTTGTCCAGCGTTGAACACAATCCAGCAGCTCGCCACCAGAGTGGAGATACTGGAGAGGGAGGTGTCCTTGCTCAGAGCTCAATGTGGATCGGGATGCTGCGGGGAAAGTTCTGGCATGGGTGCGTTCTTTTTAGCACCAACAACAATACTGTTGGAAGATGTTTTTATTAATATAATCCAGGTGTTTGTTTAAACAGGTTTTCTGAAATATCATCAAGTTGCATAGAGGCAAGGATTTATGGATCTACAAGAAAAGGAAATTATGTAAAACCCAGTTGTGTTGACATGACAGGAAGTAATGAGTGCTGTCAGGAAACCAGATGGGAAACAGGAGACAGGTAACACCAGAATATTTATTCTAGAGGGCAACTTAGTTTTATCTGTGGAGAAAGGGGTGTGAAAAATTCTCTGATAGCTCTGCTGTTATAATAGGAGTGCGAGTGGATGGAACTACAAAATAAATTACGAGTAAAGTATCTGCTCCAATGACACTATCACCCGTTTCAAATATTCTCAGAAAACCCTCGATCTGTATTGTGAGAAAATGATTTTCTCCAGCAGACATGATCCGAATCAGAAAGAGGAAGCTACGCTCGGCTGTGGAGGATGATGAAGGAAACTCTAAACAGCTTTTTGACAAAAGTTTTTCTTGTATGAGATGGAATTTTAATACATTTGCCGCATTTTGATGTTGGATTTAAAATTTTGATGAATTGTTGTCATAAATTCAAAATTCTTCCTGGCACTCGCAGAGTACAGACACCTCTTTTTGCTCTCTTATCTTTTTTTCCCCAAGGCTCTTTGTCCTGTCTGCCCACAGAGCGCTTCTCTGCATTTCTTCTGAAAAACCCTATTTTTTAACAATGGATTTCATAAATTGGTCATTCAACACAATTGATAAGATTTTTTCAACAATGAGAACGGAGAAGGGGGGCTGCTACATGCCCACAGGGGACACACCCGACGGGGTATATGCTCGAATCCTGGAGGGAATGGAAGATCATATGCCTCTCCCAGCTGTCCATTGAGGATGTCGAAGACATGTGGATATTCGGCCTGATGATCACTGGATTTCTCCTGATTGGTGTGGGAGGATATCTGGTTTTCTGGAAATTTGGGAAGACGGGAGCGATTGGAGGGCGACCCGCACCCACGGAAAGCATCGTCAGTGTGGAGACCTCACAGACTGGGACGTTACTCAAGGTGAATCGTAAGCTGGACAATGTTCTGGCTGTGATACCGGTACTAGTGCGCAAAATGGATGTCATCTCGGAGAGGGTCACCAGGCGGTATGGACAAGTTTAAAAACCCAAATTGGCTTCACTGAAGGACTGGAATGATCAGTTTAAAGACTGGAGGCAGAGAGGAAAATGCCCCCCCACACACACACACACACATACACACACACACATACACACACACACACCTTCGGATTGGTGGACTTCAGTCTGGCGAGGTCATCAACCTGCAGAAGTCAATGTGCTCTGCGCTTCTCCCGAGATCTCCCTCTCACCTGCGGCTACAGTGGCTGGTAGATGGCTGCTCTCACTGGGGGAAACAGGATCCCAGCCCCCCCCCCCCCCCCCCCCCCCCCCCCTATTGGGGTCTCATGTTGCGCTGTGTTGTCTGAAGTCTGTTGCATATCTGTTTGAGGTGTTTTTATGCAGATTAAAGCTGCCCTCCTGGTGGGAGGGTAGCTGTGAAGTGCCTTTTTTTCCTCCTCCCGAATTAAGTCCTCATGTTACCCTCTTATCTCTATTAAGGTAGCGCGACTCAGGGTTGCGAATGACCACAGTCACCAGTTCTTGTCATGTGTCTTGCCCATGTATGTCTGATCTCTGAATTGTGTGTACTGAAACTCTAATTTCCCTCTGGGATTAATAAAGCATCTTTGATTTGATTTGATTTGATTAAAATACAAATTCTCAAACTACCCTATGAGTGTGAGTTTTAATAAAAAAAAAACGTGTTCCAATCATGTAATACACATTTTATGTGTCTTTCCTCACAGGTCGGTTGGATTTTGTCCCAGGCTGTAGCGGTCATGGAAGCTTCAGCTTTGATCTTTGTGGCTGTGTCTGCGAAGACGGCTGGACTGGCAAAAACTGCTCTGAGACCCGCTGCCCTAGTGACTGCTCTGGTCAGGGAGTGTGTATCGAAGGAGAGTGTGTGTGTGACCGTGACTTTGGAGGAGACAACTGCTCAGAGCCGCGCTGTCCCTCGGACTGCTCAGGTCGTGGCTTATGTATTGATGGGGAGTGTGTGTGTGAGGAGTCCTTCACGGGCGAAGACTGCATGGTGGGAAGGTGCCTCAACGACTGCTCGGATCAGGGTTTGTGCATCAACGGGACGTGCCAGTGTCGACCCGGCTATGTGGGAGAGGACTGCTCGTTGGTGTACTGCGCAAACAACTGCAGCAAGAAGGGAGTCTGCAAGGAGGGATTCTGTGTCTGCCAGAATGGCTTTGCTGGGGATGACTGTAACTCTGGTAAGTCACAAATTTTTACCCATTTGCTTTTCAGTTGCAAAAAGTACTGGGACATGCACAGTTCATTAGAAACTCATAAGAAGGTGTTTCTACTTATAGTTGTAGAAATCTCTGAAAGCATGTAGCCAACAGCAGACAAACTATAATCCAACTGATTCAAATACAAAATGCTTTATTTTAGAAATGTTTTGTAGCACTGTCAATACTGTGCTGCCTATGAGGAAACTAGGTGTAATTATGCTCATTTCAATTCATGCTTCAGGTTTGAGGGGGTATAAAACTTTAAAGGCACACTTGGTAGTCTAGCTTGCTTTTAGCACCCCCTAGAGTCTGTTATTAATTCACCTTCGTAAAACCAAAACTTAAACTCTCCTTGTTGTGCGTTCATCTTTTTAACACCTTAGTCTAACTTCAGAAATGTTTCCTCAGCCTTCATCAGTGTCTACAGGAGTGGTGCATCACTAAGTCAAACAAATCACAGCTGTGTTCATGATGTAAAGCATACAGGAATCATGCTGGAAGCAGACTCTAGCACTAGCATGTCGGCTAGCCACTTTACTATTGACTAACACAGTTCCTTGTAAGACATGACACAGATCTCGAGAGGAAGAATCATGTGACCACAGGGAAAGGCTGCGGAGTGTCAGCAAACCCAAACATGGATTCAGAGTGCAGGTGATCAGATAAGCAAGTTATCCTACAAGTGGCTAGCTGACACGATCCCAGACAGGAGAGCAACACCGGGTGGTAGTCAGTGTCTGCGTGGCGTGTTGAGGATTCGATGGTGTGTAAGAATACGGGGATGTTTGGATAGAGACAAAAAAGCATCAATGACTTGAGTGTTTGCCTGGGAAGAAGGGGTTAATGTTGGTCTTGAGGTCGGATTACACTCAATTTTTAACCTTTTGTTGGCGCAGGCAGCAGGCTGCATCTTTGTTCACATACTTGCTGCTGCATGGCACTACACTGCATGTAATACTGGAGTGTTTCATTACGGGGTTTGTGGAGTACAACCAAACAAACATGGTGTAAATAGAAGAGATTAGTACCTAATATTGAGATCAAGGTAAAAAAAAAAAGACAACATCAACATTTTTGTTAAAAAGACCTCTAAAAAGCAGTAACTGAGAAGGTTGAGCGGGTTTTTTCGTTAATCAGAAGATTGCAGGTTCGATCCCGGCTCCAGACAGGGAATTCTGCCTGCTGGTGGTGGTTGGAGAGGCTGATGGTGCCTGTGCTCGGAAGCCTCATCTCTGTCAGTGCGCCACAGGGCATCTGTGGCTACATCACAATCAGTGTGTGAATGTGTGTGCGTGAATGAATGAATGTAGTGTAAAGCGCTTTGGAGTCTTCTGACTTAAAGATGCAATACTAGTGCAGGTCTTTTATCATTTAAACTGGAGATGGAGTGACCGTGGCGAGTGTGTCTGGCTTGTTTTATCAATTCCACCTACTGGTTACTCAAATATTGCAGCAATATTGCATTCATTTTGGGGGATGCGCACAAACAAAGCTTCAAATCAGCAAGTTACGCATGGCAGCTATTTTAATCACACATATGCGTCGTTAAAAAGCAAGTATACTCCGGCTCTTGGGGTGTCGGAACTGTTGGTTTTTAGTCTGTGATCCTGTTCGCGTCCAGGGAATTCCAGCATGTTTTAACTAGCTTATCACAAATATCACAAATAATCCAACATAACTGGACGTGATCACTACAGCCTGACAAACATATAACGTCCAAAAGGTTCAATTTTTCACCATCTACACTGACCAACATTTCATCTACGGCATAAATCCACTTTCTATGTGGTCTTCTAAATCCAGAAGGTTCTGCTCAGCGCATGTTTACATTCCATGAAGACAAAACATTCATATAGACACTCTTAGAAGCCAGACAACATTCTTCACTCTGAATAAGTGAAGACTTCATGATTTTATAGTTATAAGTTAAATAATCATATGTGATGAATGAACAAGAATTTTAAATAAATGTTTGAATAATCTGTGCTTAAATCAATGAATATGAAATAAATATTGTTCTTACAATGATCCTTTTATATCACAAAGTAACTGTGTTTGATTTAACATCTTAATCATTGTTTACACTCATAAACATTACAATACGATACTCATTAAGGTTAATATACACCTCACATAAGAGTTTCAAGACATTCTCATTCACAGTGTTAAAAACATCTTTGTGTCTGAAGGAAGGCGTGGCTTTCTGAGAAACACTTTGCTAAAGCCTTCCAGACATGGCACATTCTGATTTGCCAGAATACGCCAGAAATGATAAATGACTTATTAAAACAGGATTTACTTCTCGATTAATTAGGTTTCCAGCTGACCCCCAATTCTGCCAAAATGGGAAAAAAGCATCTCTTTGAAACAAGCTCCTTTGATCTTAAGTCAAAACCTTTCTGTGACACCGCAAGTGATTACAGACACAACAGCTCTTTTCAGAGCTACTTCAACTCTCAGACATCTGCCTTGGACACCTAATCTGCAGACCCTGGGTTGCATCTCATGGCAGGGGAAGCTGAACTCAGAGGAAGCTACTAATCTCTGAGTGTTGTGGTCTCGACGTCTGGTGACCTCACCACTCTGACTGCCGGGTGCAACTCATACAAGGGTATCATAAGTCTGCATACTGACGTCTGATGAGGTTTTTATCAATAACTAACTCTCTAGTTTATAACAAACAACAAATTCTTTTACACCCAGATTTCACAATTTCTCTCAGATACAAAGAACGGTTGCTACAGCATCTAGCTTCCATCACAACACTTCATATCCACCACACCGCATCTCCTAATTCATACCTCGTCATGTATCATTAGTCTAGGAAAAATAATTAAATTCATTTTATAAACTATATACTGACGCTGTCTGGATTAATACGAAGTGTGTTTATGGTCCCTGAATAAGCAAAGAACCTTAGAATCTTCTGATGAAACATTCAAAGATCAATCAGATTGATGTTTCATATTTATATGGAATATCACATCTTATTGGTCGTAATTAATATGTATTCCACTACATTTAATGGCGAGCTAGCCAGGAGATTTCGATTTTAGAAACAAAGAAAAGCTTTAGCATGCACAAACACCACAGGAAAAGTTATGATAATAATAATACTTTGTCAACAAAATGACCACTTTGCTGCGTTTTTACATAATGAGTGGTTTGTTTTGCTGCCATTAGGTTTCAAATTCTGTGTATTGAAACTTGCACATATTGGTGTGAACTTGTTCATATTATGATTACATGATAAATTAGATGCTAACCACTATGTCTGTAAAATGTATGTAAAAATGGAATGCGAAAACTTGGAGAATTGCATTAGCAACATGCATGATGTTGTAAATATCTATATGTTGATGCTTTGCAGCCATGTGCATTTGGAAAACCACTAATCTTCTGCATCAAAGTAAAAAAATTAATAAAAATGCATCAAAATACTGATGTTTTACATTTTAAAATAAAAGCTGACCTGCAGTTTAACTTATTCTTCATACAAACATATCAATAAAACACATTTATGGATTAGAGCAGAACTGATGCCTATGTGTAATTTGGTACACAAGTTATTGCACATTGTTGCTCAACCTTTAATTAGTGACATTATTTATTCAATAATTTCATGAAATCATTATGAGTTTGAATAAATGTCAAGAACAATTTGGTCCAGCCGAATTGTTCCTGAGGAGTAATCAACAAATCTTCACATTTAAAGGGTGAAGAAAATGTTCAAACTTTCCATTAAATACAAAAGCAACAACAGTTTTCTCAGTGGAGATAGTTAATTTAGGTCAGTCTCATTTAATTGGCACTGTGTGTCCTAAGCTTTAAGACTTCAGGTTTATGGCGCTGGCCCAGTGAATGTCTTGAAAGAAAAATTGGGACAAATTACAGCCGAGTGCTGGAAAACAGCTCTCAGCTTCAACATAGCATGTGCACAAGCTTGAAAAATAAACCTGTCTGTGCTTCAGAGGCAAGTGGTGGTGTAGGGGGAGGGTGCATGACTTGCAGGACAGCAGAAGGTCTAACGGGATTCATTTGTCAAAAGTCACATTCATCCAGGGAGCAAACTGTCACATTAGCTGCAGCTGAGACAGTTTCGGAGCTGTGCTTGCCTTTGTTCAAAGCCGCCTCTCCATGCCAAAATACCACATCCCCTTCTGCCATTTGAGGCACCTGTCAACAAAGTGACGGATGAGGACAGACAGGGGAGCGAGCAATAAAACGTCGGGGACGGAGAAATGTACAGCTAAGGCTGATTCTTGCATTCTGCCCTCCTGTTTAATATCTATACCAAGTGAGGGAGATGGATTGCTTATTTCTTCATAATTAGCCGGCGCTTGTATGGGAGAGTTTGTCGAATACAAAATGAGAAGTTCAATTACTAAAGGCATGCAGGGTGACAGGCTTAAGTGTTTCATGTTATCAGAAGCCTAAGAAAACACCAAGCAGTTTTGCTTCAATTATGGTGGCCTATATCCTCCCACTGAAAAATAATAGAGACTGTTGAATTTAAATTGGATGTTTCAGTCATGGAGTGAGAAATAGCATGTATATCTTTACATGAAAGAACAGAATATCCGTCCACAAAGCAGATATCACCTGTTGAAGAGGGATGTTGAGTGCTTATTCCAGAGGTATTTTTTGGTCATTTCCATGTTGTCCAATGATGGCTTGCAGAGATGACAACAGACATTTGCATTTAGATAAAGTTTTGAATATTTCTACTCTGTGGTTGTGCGGTTCGTCTCAAGACTACAAACCAACGTTTGTTCTACTTTCTGTTTTTCATTGATCTGTTTGATCTGTGTGTCTTTAGCATTTTCCATCTCACTTATAAATGTCGTAATGACAGTTTTAAAGCATAACATAGTTTAGGGTCCCATAAACAAATAAATGTAAAAAAGATCAAACTCATATGATCTAATTCTCCTAATTTCGAATTTGGCAGATATTTAGAGAGCAGATTCACTAAGAAA